CTAAGACTTTCACCTTTTTCATTCTCGAGATTGAGGAGGCGGTTTGGCAAATTAAACTTGTAAAAGGTCTTCGGGTTTGATACCATAAGCTATTTACTTAGATATGTTTTGGATTGAGAGTATCTTATCCAATCTTCTCTCCTCGTCTTCCATTTTATTTCATTATAAATAAAATAATTATCAACCTCAGTGGATGATCTGTTATTGCAGCTTATATACGATACTATAAAAAGTGGAAGTCCCGGAACTTCAGGATTAGAGAGTTGTATTCGCTTTTTCCCTCCAGAGATGTTCTCTGGAAGGTAAGCTATGTTTCACTATCTCTCTCTCTACTGTATGCGTACAAATATATTAGATGCTGACTTAGGTTTCAAAGTGTTATCACTGACTGAGTAGTTTCTAATCTTGTTAGATCGGGTGCATGGACTGGTGGAGATGGGGCTTGGGTTGAGTTGTCAGGGAAAATGCACGTTCTAGCTAGGTTACTAGGCCATTTACGCCAGAGAACTGATGACCGCATTGTCCTTGTCTCAAACTACACTCAAGTAATTTCAAATCCTTTGCTGACCTTTTTCGAATAAAATTCTATTCCCTTCCTCCGCCAAATGATTTCTTTCACATTTCTTGAATATTGTTGAATTGTATGTTGTAGTCACAAAGCCAGCTAAATTCATCTTTTAATTGCTCAAGCTTTCAAATATTTTGAATCAGGTCATGTTTCTGTCTTTGTGAAGAATAACTATTTGCCATTTTATTCCCAAGATGAAATTTATTCGTCTTTCGCCATCCTTTAGTGTGATTTAGCAGTTAACTTATCTATCCATAGATAATAATAAATTCCATTCTTAGGGGACTGATTTAACTTTCATTTTGCTAGACGCTGGATTTGTTTGCTCAACTATGTCGTGAAAGGAAATACCCATATTTAAGGCTTGATGGAACCACATCAATCAGTAAAAGACAGAAGTTAGTCAACCGTTTTAATGACCTGTCAAAGGTATGCAGCCTTCATAAGATCTGCTTTGGTTTTCCTTTTCTATTCCCTGCTAACAAGACTTTGAAGAACTTTTATGTGGGAATAATATAGTGCTAAAGCACCGCACATCAATACTTTGCAGGATGAGTTTGTTTTTCTTTTGAGCAGTAAGGCTGGTGGATGTGGTCTAAATTTGATTGGTGGAAATCGGTTAGTTTTGTTTGACCCCGACTGGAACCCTGCAAATGATAAGCAAGTAATTAACTACTTCGATCCCCTGGTTTGGACTCGTTGAGTTCTATAATATGAATATACAGTATCCTTCTGATGCTTTCATTGTTTTCATCTGTCTTATCATACATGAATAGGCTGCTGCAAGAGTCTGGAGGGATGGGCAAAAGAAGAGAGTATTCATCTACAGATTTTTAAGCACCGGAACAATTGAAGAAAAGGTTCGAATACATTTCCAATCGGGCTAAAATGGTCACCATTTTCACGCTTATATTTTTATGATATATGTTGTTAATACAGTTAAGAGTCCTTTTCTCATATATCCCAGTATTGTATAGGTGTATCAGAGGCAAATGTCAAAAGAAGGGTTGCAAAAAGTTATTCAGCAGGAGTTAACAGATAATCTTACCGCGCAGGTTAAAAATTGCTTATTTTCTGATATTGATTAGCAAGTATTGATTGCAACACAAAATAAAATTTGCAATCTAAAAAGGCTCTTGGAATGTCCCTTTTCTCCCTTCATTTTTCAGGCGAACTTCCTTTCGTCTGAAGATCTACGCGATCTATTCTCATTCCATGGTGACGTCAGGTAATTAATATTACTATGATTTAGTTGCTCAAGAAGTCACATTATGTTAGTTTCTCGTTTTCAATCTATACCATTAACCAGTTTACACAAGAAGTCAGTATGCCGCCATGAATGATTAAACCTATTTCACTTGGATAGTGTGGAGGACATAAATGCACACAAATGAGTCTACTTGACCAAAGTTAATTAGTTAAGGCATATATTTTTCAACCAACAGGGTAGGTATTCAAATCTCTACTTAAAACTTTAATTAAGAAAACAAGAGAAAATTTTAGTGATGGAATGCGTGTTTTCTTTTGTCTCTGGCAATCGTTAATCAAACAGCTTGTCCTGTGATTAAAAGGGGTCGCCTCTTTCAGGCTTTCTCTATGCCCAACGTTAGTTTTGTTCTCTCACTATTTGAACTGCGGTTTATATTTTCTCAAATTAACCGCACAAGATTAAAAAAATTAAGATTTTTTATTTTAAGGGAAAAACCCACTAACAAAGTTTGTTCTTCCACTACTACATGAATTAGAAAATAATCACCAACAAAAACACACAAATCAAAGGACAAAATTCTTCCTTGCAAGTATAACCGACATTTACAAACATAGCCCCATAAAGAAAATTGTCATTTTGAATACACAGGTCTGAAATCCATGAAAAAATGAATTGCACTCGGTGCCAAAATTGTAATGGTAGGCCCGAGGAGATGGACGAAGGCCCGTCCACGAGCAGAACTTGTCAGTCTGACCAAGTAACTTCTGACATTGGCGGATTTGCACAACTTGCTGGATGCTTGGACAAGCTGAAGAAATCAGAGCAACAGGTTGGTCACTCCTAATGAACGGAGGACAGAGTTTCTTCTAGTTGCGCTATTCAATTCACTTCTGCTTTTAAAATTTTTCAGGTGGGGTCTCCTCTAGAAGAAGATTTAGCCAACTGGGGGCACCATTTTAACTCTACTACCGTGCCAGATACCATTTTGCAAGCTTCTGCTGGTGATGAGGTTTGACCTTTAACATATTTTATGAGCAAGCACAGATAGTTGGATGAATAACCCATTTTTCCATTATCTTTTTTATCTCCTAATATCATGATTTACTTATTTAAGACTGATTTTGTCATTAAGATTTATTGAAAGTAAAAAGATAAAATTTAAGACACCGAAAATATATAGACTAAAATAGAATACGTTTTAAAATATAGAGACCAGCCTACATTTTTTGAACCAACACAGCAAGTATTCATTTTTCCATTATCCTTTTCTTGAAAATCTCGTGATTTACTTATCTTGCCTCAGGTTACATTTGTTTTCTCGAATCAAATCGATGGGAAACTTGTTCCTGTCGAATCGAAAACTAGCCCAAGGATGAAGGAAGCAGAAGGAAATGAAAAGAACTCCAAATTGAACCAAAACTCAAAGCAGAAACTATTATTAGTATCTCAACATAGAAAACCTTTACAATCCATTACTTCAAATGAAGATCTTAACAAAGGTACATTAACTTTTACTTCCAATGTCTTTCAAAGAGAAACCATGAAGCCTGTCAGAACTTCACTTGAAGGTTCAATGCATGTAACATTGAATCTCAAGCATTCTCTTGGAAATTATTTACCACAGAAAAGAATGTCTGATGCTGTTGAATATGATGATTTCGAGTAAAAGTTTTGTTTCCCTCTATGTGAACACGGGAGTCAAGAATAAACAATTACAAGTGTATACGTCAATTAATAGAAAACGATAAAGGTTATTTGATCTGCATATTTCAACAACTTAAGTTTTCTGATTTATTCTTCCATTCCTTCAACTCCTTTAAAGTTTATTATAATGGTCAATATTTGAAATTGACTCCATGGAGCCATTATGACATGGCTTCAAGACAGCAAAAATTTGCTGTTGGCAAACATGGGAGTCAAAATGCTCTAAACTTAGATCTCCTTAAGGTCACAAATTCATATCATCTCAATGTCTTAGAGGGTAAGATATGGTAGAAATTTTAGATACCAAATATTGTAAAGCTGAATGGTCATAGTCAAGGTGTATATAATCGAATCGAAACCCGTCATTATAAAATTGTAAAAAAGCATGGTTGTTGACATCTTGTTTTAGATTCTCAATACTTTTAACCAAAAGTAAACAAACCCCACCAGTTTGCAAAAAGGAGTTGATATCCTATAGACATGAAATATTTAGAGCCAGCCAACAATTGATCTGCTCAATAAAAATTCACAGGGATGAGAGTTTTTTTACACATTGTTTAAGTATTATTGCTTTGGCAGCACCCAAAGCATCCAAATTAAGAAACAAAGGCTTGATCTGACATAGTAAAATGAGCCTTGAACACCAATTTGTTTTTGATTGTGAGAAGGAAAAAGATGCACAAGATTCTTATTTTAGACCACAAAAAGACAAGTTTTGTTCACAAGATGGGAGACCAAAAGGGAGACATCGCCAATTAGACAAGTATTTAGGCATGAGGTTGGCACTACTTAGATCATGTCTTAAATAAAAATGATATAAACTAAGCAAAAAAAAAAAAAAAAAAAAAAAAAAAAAAAAAAAAAAAAAAAAAACAAGCCCCAAGCTGTCAAACNAAGGCATTGTCATTTAGATTTATGTGGATAAAAACCATGTGAAGGTAACCAAGGAAGAGCATGTGACAGTCAAAAGTCCACATGAAAAGCACATAAAAGATTCTTTATGATTGTCCACATAACCTTTTGTTGAATATCATTATCTCTATTGGTGCAAACTTATTTGTTTTATCCTACCAATCAAGTTTAGTTATAATGTTTGTACAGTTCAAGACCACCCCTAGCAGATATTGTCATATTTTGACTTTTCCCTTTCGGGCTTCCCCTCAAGATTTTTAAAACGCGTCTGTTAGGGGGAGGTTTTCACACCTTTATAACGAATACCGATATGGGATCTCACAATAAGGGGAAGCTCAAAAGGGAAAAGCCCAAAGAAGACAATATCTATTAAAGTAGTTAATGGATCTCTCGTGTTTTGGGTTCTATTTAAGTCATTTTAAACTCGTCAATCCTACTTGATTCTCAATAAGTTTTAATGAAATGGGTATACGTTTACACAAGTAAAACGAGCTAAGCATATTGATTTTTTAGAATCGACATTGAATGGATATCATCAAATGATTTAGAACAAAATTTAGTTCCCCAAAGAACGGTTCAATCATGGTTGAAGTAGATAATATAGTCAAACAGAAACAGTCTATGATGCAAGAAAATGAAAAAAAAAAAAAGAAAGTATATAATTTATGATTACAAATCATGCATTTCCATACCAAAAAGAAAGCCAAAAAAAAAGGTACCCATAATTCTTTATATAAACAAACACCTTCAAGCTGATTGGCCCAAGGCAAGTGGCAAAGAAAATGACTCAAAAAGAGAGAATCATATCATCCATTCAGTGAAAGAAACTCAAAAAGAGCAGCAACCCTTTTGAGCTGATTCCTCCATGGATCCAAGAATTTCGTTTTCAAATGATTTTGTAGAGACACAGCTGCCATTGAAGCTTGAGAACATCTACAGGGAAGCACCTGTTTCATCTGATTTTGAGTTCAGTGTTAAGGACAGATGTATGATTGCAGCAGATGAGATTTTCTGTCAGGGGAGGCTGCTGCCATTGAAGGACAGTTCAAGGAACCTTTTGGTGAAGACAACATTAAGAGATGAGTTGCAAGTGAATGAAGATGATGATGAAGAAGAAGATGTTTCATTTCCAAAGCTAACAAAAACTTACTGGAAGGAGAAGTTTGGGTTCAGAAGATCCCATTTTGTTTCCAAAAAACAGCATAGAAATGAAGGGGTTTTGAAAACTGTGGAAGAGGAAGACAAAAGCTCTGTTTTTCTTCATGAGGATCTCATAAATATTGCAAGAAAAAATGGGTAAGATCAAAACTTCATTATTTTTCTTATCTTCTTATCTACGAATTCGAATGTTTCCAAATGATTATCAAACGAGACCCGTTTCAATCCTTGAATGCTCAAAGGGAATGGGGCTAACAAGGGTGTTTTATGTACAGGAACTGTTACTTGAAGAAAGCAACCTCACAGAGAGGATGATCATAACTAATGTAAAGCAGAAGATTACAAGTTTTTTTGTTCAAAAGTGTTGTGATTTTCAAGCAAGAAGCTTGTTGGGGGGAACTGGTTCAGAAACAGAGAGGCTTTTGCTTTTCCTTTTCCATCACTTTTCTTAGGAACTCTAACTTTCTCTTTTATTTGTATAAAAAAAAAAGCCTTAGAGATTTGATAATGTCTTATTTACTTGATGGATTTTGTTATAATACATCATCTCTCTCTTCTCTTTCCCTTAGTTTTTTTTTTTTTTTTTTTGAGTTCACCATTAAGAGTCGGTTCAAACCGCTTGAAAATTATTGATAACAAAGATAACTTTTAAGATTACTCGTGTTTTTTTTAGATAAATGAGTGATGTGAAGATTTAAATATTATGCTTCAAAATGTGGATTTATCAAATTACCATTAAATATAAACTATATTCACCTTGAAAGAAAATTAATTATGAATTTATTTTTATCTACTATTCGTAATATATCTCGTATTCCTAGACAACTTACTTTAACAAATAACATTATAAAATTTAGACTAAATTATAGAAATTTTGTATCAATAACATCTATCAACTTTTAAAAGGTTCAAAACTATACGAGAACATTGAAAAAAAAAAAAAAAACGTTACAAAAATTCCTTATCATGGATCATTAAAGTTTAGAACAAAAAAACGTTACAAGAGAACTATATGGCAGAGTAAACATTGGAGCAACCTAACTATGTTAAAATCCTAGAAATTTCAAGTAAAAATTACTCCCTTTTTTACTTGGTTTAACCTAAAAATAATAATCTCGCTTTACATTAACAGAATTTAAAAAAGGTTAGTTTTGATCCCTCACTATGCTGAGTTCAATAAAAGAAATTGGAAAGCAAATGATCAAATATTTACAAAACTATGCACATCTTGGAAAACAAATCATCAAGTATTTACAGGGCTATGCACAAATTAGAAAGCTAGATACATTTGCTCAATCCTCAAAGAATAAAGTAGGGTATAACTAATTACCAAACTTAATCACCATCAGTACGAAAAAATTTCTAACCATGGTTGAATATTTTAACATTCATGTACAAATCTCCGTCTTCTACATCGAACGGGGAAAGAATGCCTACGAGACTCTTTCTTCTGTACATCTGCATCAATCAAACAAAAGCCACAAGCATCACCACATGTAGTGCAAAGAAAACAAAACATTATAGTAAATTCTTTAGACCCATTTGATAATGATTCAGTTGTTTACTTATTATTTTAGCAAATCATGCTTATAAACGCTACTCTAATCTATGAGTTTCTTTCTTTTGTTATTTACTGTTGAAATTGTTTTCAAAACCCTTTTGAAATTTTGCTTTATTTTTGAAATTTAACTGAGAATTCAAAACGTTCGAAAACCTAGTAAAAACCCGACCAAAACAATTTCAAATAACAGAACTAAAAACCTAGTTTTAGTTGATTTAGTTTAACATTGCAATGTACTCTTAGAATATAAAACTAGCATTGTATCAATTTAGAGTAACATGGTTTTCAGGCTTCACATAATGTTAGAAAACAGAAGTTCAGAAACATGCTGACACAAAAGCATCAAACTTATTTCCAGTAATACTGCCAAACCAAGAACAAAATTGCTTGACTACCTAACTTCTACATGATGTTTTCTATACTTAAGATGAGCATTGTTCATAGAAAGAACCGAAGGATTATAATTTATAATGGGATTTGATATCAGAGGATCGAAAACGAGATTAGACTTACATTTACACCAGGTCCATCTTTTCAAATATGAAAAGAGTGTGTCACGATCTTTTTAAAGGCGAGGCACAATGCAATGACTGACGGCAATCACGACTCCTTGGGAAATTAAGCTTAAACTTTATCCAGAAGTCATCCATGGCCTCATCAATTCTGTTCCCACGAGTCTGTAGGACCTAAATATTTCTCCATGGATTCTCTTTTGCGCTCGGGATCCAGGCTGCAAGCATGAGATCCAACATCAACTAAGTTTCTAAAGATTCTCATATTCTCGCATATCCAACAACAACTAAGCGAGCACATAAAGAAACAAGTAATGACCTATTTCTCAAGCCAAGAAAAGTGTAATGTATTGCGCTTGCACATGCAGAAGCTGGAGCTATTGCGGCAGCTGGAATTGCTTGAACAGCAGTTGCGAGAGCAGACACTGTACTGCCTCCACGTTGATACTTTTTCAAGGGAGTCCGAACCAAGGCAGAGGCAGACTTCCCAAGGCCATCACTAATGCTTTCATAAGCCTGTTAAAAGTCAAGTTTAATCAATTCCATGGGAAAATAAGCGAGAAAAAATGTATGTATTGAACTGAGCAAAATCCACTCATACCGTTCCCCCATGAAAAAGAATATGAAGGGGAGAGGTCTTTGCATGTCAACGTGACATAAAGATACAACAATCAATATGAAAAATTTGTGAAACATGGAAAAAAGCAAATCAAACTGTTAAGTTCTATTTTGTAAGCACACATGAAGATGAAAATATGCATAAAAGCCATCAAATCGTTTATATTCATATAGAATATGTTTTAAACAGTTTTTTGACTAAAAGTGATCGGTAACTAAGACTTCAAAATCACTAAAATTCCACCAGGCTTCATGATCCGGATAATTAAACAGTAAAGTAAGCAAGGATTGTATTCCATGCAAAATCTTCTCATTCTCTATCATTTCCTTTGACCGGGAAGTTCATATAACCCCTAGTATGATCAAACTTAGAAGATGCCAAATTGAATTAAATCACTAGGAAGATCAACAAGGGTACTACTCAAATTTCTTCAAAATAAAGCAATGCAAAATGTTTCTTAGAGCAGTATGCATGGAACATATATTTTGTTTAGATATGAAATGTTATTTTCCAATATATTTTTTACAAGAACTGGATGCCTTAGACCAACTTATAAACACTTAATCCTGATCCACAGGATGACTATCGAATCCTAAGTATTTGAACCCATAATACAAACAGATAGGCATGTCATTTTTCAGTACATTAGAAACTCGAATATGAGCATGCAAACAAATGTAGAAGATTCACCTTTTTCAATCCTTCTTGAGCATCCTTGGGTTGATTGGATCTTACATTAGCCTTTGTCTTATGCCGTACTTTCACTGAAGGAGGAACAGTAGTGAGTATATATTCCGCCTGGAGCAAAATGTCATGAGCCCCAGCAGCCAAGTGTACCCCTAGTCCAATAGCTTCAAGGGAAATACTTCTGAGAAATGCAATAGTACCTAAACAAATGATCAATTATTGGAGTTGCAGAATATCATGAAAAAGGAAAAAAATAGCAGGCTATTCAGTATATATATTTTTTAATTCACGAACATACTAATAAAAAAAATTTAAGTTAAGGTTCCCTGTCGGACATAAAATTAAATTTTTTATCTAATAAATTAATTCATTTTTAAAAGAAAATTGGCCAAATTTACATATGCCAGGAACATCTTAAGTACAAAATTGAAAGTTTGAGACTCCTATTGAAAACTTTATAAAAATCTCCTTCTATTAAATGTTTTTTGAAACTTAAAGACCTATTAAATACTATTTAAGGATGTCTTCTATTAAAATACTTTTTGAAAAACTTGTAACTTAACCTTTAATATAAATTTTCCAAGTATACTTTGAACTAAATAATCCCAAACCAAAACCATCATATTTGACAACCTTTAAAATGTTATAATCATAAGTTCACACCCATGATCAAACTAAAATTTCATGTTAATAAGCATTAGGAGAACCTACCACTCTCCTTAATTAAAGGTAAACTGCCCAGCGGTGATATTTTTATAAGTTTCAGAACAAATGTAAAATACAATCCCAAAAGAAAGTCACCTCTTTGCATCCCCTTTAATATTCTTCGATCCTTTTTGTAGCTCTCAACTGGAGAAGACAAGAGTTTTGAGGCACCAGAGCCAACAGCAACTAATGACCTGACTGTAGGAAGGCCCTCCAGTATTTTACGAATCTATAACAGGTTGATAACATGTTACTATTAATTATTATAATGGGAGAATAACCAACAAACTTTTTAGTTTCAAGTTGAGTACCTGATTATGAGAAATATCTTCCAGCCATTCACCTACAACTGTTTCACATACACTGCCCCAACCATAGACTCCAACAGCCTGCACATGCTTAAGGTGTAGCTCAACCCCCTGCACCAGTCAACTTAATTAGTGTTAACAGTGACAAAATGATCCACCTTGACCTTTGAACAAGCATCGAGACTTTGATGAATAACGTAGTCTGCCAAACCAGAAAAGGAGATACCAGAGCAACTCAGTTACTTGGTCGGTCAGACAAAGTAACATCTCTCTTGACCTACTCAATATATATATTGAGGAATTTAATCAACAAATTCAAGTATTGACATGTAAAAGGAAGCTCATCAATTTGCACAGGAGACCATAAAATAGACGGGCTAGTATGATATACCATTACATAAAATTATCTAAATACAGGAATGCGTTACCAAAGGCAGCATAGTACAATTGGACAGGAAACCATAAAATAAAAGAATTAATATGATGAAATCATCAAAACAAATTACCTAAACATATAATTTGGCACCCAAAGGAAAAGTAGGAACAGTTCATCGATATGTGTGTAAGTGTATTGGGGAAGCGATAGTATTACCTTCCAAGGAACCAGATTTACAAGTTCAACGTACTTCCCACCTCTTAACGCAGCCAAATCAACACGACTTGGACTGTAATCAACACGGACTACAATTGGTTGTATGTCAAACTTCTGAAAATACAGTAATGCAATTAGTACATAGATTTTAACCATATATCCAAAAGTGAAGGTCAACCAAAATAGCAGCAGTCAAAATCAATTTAAAAAGGGGTAGAGCAGAGGAAGGGGTCAATTTCTTCAAAATTACGGAGTAGTAAATGAAATATTCATTTCTTTTTTTAACTTGGAGATATTTGGAATCAGGCTTCAATTGAAAATTGGGGTTGGAGGTTCATTACAGAACCCTTTTCTTTCAGGAGATGAGTTAGCAAGTATTCATGGTGTTTGTTCAGGTGATTGGCAAATAGCTGATTCTGTCGAAAGTTTGGAAACAAGTTGATTCTTTGGCTCAGTTCAAATTAGGTGACGGACAATATGTTTTATTTTTGGATGATTTATGGACCAGTGATGCTCCATTGAATTCACATTTCCTTCTCTTCTCGATTTTTATTACTCCAAAAAGTTGGCTCTCAAATTTTTGGGACCCCTTGACTAATTCTTGGAATCTCATTTTTGGAAGATGAAGAAATTTCAATATATCCATGGATTCCTAACTACCACTCAACAAGATCACTGGCCTTCCTTTTCTCTCTCTCATTTTTTTTTTTTTTCCATGGAAACAGAAAATTGAAAGTAAGTTTAGCACAAAGAAGAAAGAGAGTAGTTAAGTTACCCGACTAAGGCCAAGGAAGTGTACCAAAAATTAACCCTTAGTAATGATCAGACAATCAATTCAAGATCCAATTCGAAAACAAAACAACTAATATTCTAGGTCTTGAGCCCTCAACTACTACATTAATTATAAGGAATGCATCCAAATCTGTCTTCCCTCCAGGGCCTCCACAAACACCTCTTGGCCTCTGAGCTTATAGGCGAAGTTTTTCATCCTCATAAACATCTCACTTCTGTCCTCAATTCTTTATCACATGATCTATACTTCATCTGATTTGATTCTCTGTACACTGTACGAGGATTTTATTACCTTCCAGGTGAAAATTATTAGCTCTTAAGATAACTCGGTCACATATGGGTACAAATCTGAGTCAAGGTTAAGGCATTATTGTGCACAACTACGAGCGAATTGTGAGTTCTTGTCACAGAAATATGCATGACCAATAAAAATTTGCCATAACTTGCCTGAAAATAAGGAAGCAATGCCTCCTCTGCCAAATTAAGCCCAGCATCACTTTTGGTCGTAGAAATAGTTTTTGAACCATCTGAATCAAGTGAATGACCAGACTGGTTTCCTGATGAACTTTTTTCCCCAAAAAAATTAACAAGAAAATCAAGTTGGCATTGATGAAGATGCAATAGCATAGGCAGAAAACCAACACGCAACCTGAAAGAAAAACAGGTTATATACCCATAATGAGTACGAATGAAAGATAATACTATCACATATTCACTAACAATTATATTGGATATCTTATAAAAATATTAACTTATTAAGAGAAAAGGAAATAGCATTCTAATATGGCCTACGAATGCTCATTCCATCAATATGGTGGAAAGGAATGGTCAATTCCTTGCAACCTAATAAAAGAAATGGTCTCCCATTCCCCTCTTCAACCATTGATCGTACCAAACACCAACTTATAGCAAATGTCCTGTTAGAGGAATTCGTGATCTTGTTGGACAAAAATGACAAAATTCTAACTTAAGAATCGCCCAAGAGATGCAAGCACTAACACATCTAATGTTGAAAATAAAAATACTGAAAAATTTACGCACCGGTATTCCTCAAGAGGGATCAAAGGATCTGGTCTAATAGCTTCTAAGTCGAGCTTGAATGCTTTTGACGAAGACTTACGAGGATGATTCTTTGAATTGTAATATCCCAGTACCTTTCAACAACCACCCGAAAAAGGAGGGAAAACATTAATTAATGTCCGTAAAAAGCATAAATGCAAAAGGATCTCTCAAGCAAAAGAGAATACCAGCTTCCAAGGTGCATCTGCACTGCTGTCATAAAGATGAAAATCTTGAACTGAAAGTGAAAGTCTAGATACACACATTCCACCCATAGGAAAAACATCATATTGAACATGCATGGCAGATAATGCAAGCTCTAGACATGTGTGTTGATCTCTTTTAACCATACTCATTGGTCGATCACCATTCTCTCTAGAAACTTGCCAATCAGAACCAGCATACATTCTCCATTTCAAATCGATATTATTAAGAAGTACACGTCCACATGCCTCTTCAACCTCATCAAGTCTTTTGCTCTCGATAGAACAAAGATCATCAGTTACCGAGTGTTCAACTCTACTTGCATCTAAAATGTGGTTTTCAAGAATTTTTATAGGCAAGTTCCCGTACCATCCACTTCTTCGTCCTTCAAGATCTATACTACTAGAATTCCTGGAATTACAAATATCGGGAGGTAATTCTTGGCCCATTGTTAGATCTGATACAGGACGAAACTCAGACAGGCAATATCCTTCTATTATTTCAGGAAACTTGAGGTATTGTATGAAAGATGTTTGACCATCAGGCTCTGAGCCAATGAAGGAATGAATGGGAGAAGAAGTTTCATGAACCTCAGAATTCAACCTGCATACCTCAGTATGAAGACCTTCAGTGGATGAAAAACAATCACATTCTCTGGTTTGGTTTTTATTTAATAGAAACGCATCTTCACATATTTCATCCATTAACCCAGTTTCACTTTGTTTAACTGATGGATTGTGACATGGAGGAGAAGATGATTCATTGTCAATCTCCTTTCTCTCTTGTGCTTGTTGGACATTATTCCATCTTGTCTGCAAATGAACAATCGATTCCTCAAGATCAGGGGCAAATAGTTGCTGAAGTTGAGCAGCCAAACGTACCAGACCAGTAGTAGTGTCATTGCATGTTTCCACGAAAACGTGGGCTTTGTGACATTCTAACTCCCACTTGAGGCCATTATCACAGTTAGTTCTCAATATTGCTTCAATAAATGTCTCCCTGGCAACCTTAACCCAGCCTCCCTTGCGCAGATCTTCAACACTGTAAGCATTAAAAACATGCTCATAATCAGAGACACTACATAGAAGAAGTCCAATATCTTGTATTGTGATTCTGAAATTATCTTCAACTGTATCTGCCACACTAGAACTTGATAGTGTTACTGAGGATGCAGCCAGCAGGCAAGCAACATAATCATCATCCAACTCTTGTTTGATGGTAGAAGAACTGGATTCTGTTCGAGAGAGTCTGCTATTGCCTAGCAAATTCTTCAAGTACGGTTGATAGCTCAACCCAACATCAACAAAGTTAAGAAAAAAATTAGACCCTGAAGACTTTTTTGTATTCTCTCTGGGCATAACCTTGTCACCTTCTGGTTCAACTGGAGAAGAGGGCAAAAGGAAAAAGGAGCAGATGACATCTAACCAATCCAATCGACCACCTATAGCCAGAATTGTTGCACATCTTATTGTTATAGAAGAAAAATCCTGTAAGCACTCGGGATCCCACATATGCACAATATCACAACCAGCTAACCTTGAAGATAAAGCATTTGAACCTTCCCCATCCCCACGCTTCATGTTAGAGTTGCTACATGAGATCAAACGAAACTCCTGATCAGGATCTTCAGATATGAAACCCAGCAATTGTCCTTCTCCATGGGATAGCCAAAAGAAATTGGCACCCTCGATACTTCCAAGGTCGGAGACAGAGATTAGTTCGAAGTTTTGAATTTCCAGTCTTAGATGATACCATGATCCAGGAAGTTCTCTCTGCAAAGAGCACTTAACACTCTCATTTGAATCTGGCCTAATGGAAATTTCTACACAATTGCAATCAACTACAATCGATTTTTGAGATGTTACGGATCCTTTTGTAACATCAACTGCATCACAAGTATCACTTGACAATCCTTTTATCAACTGATCTAAAAGATAATTAAAGACTTTATATTGAACAGCACCAGCATTGATTCTGACAAGAGGGAGAAACACATACAACACTGATGTGGAGCTCAAAATCATTTCTTGTCGAGTCTGCAAGTTAGACTCCTCCATATCTTTCATATTAGCAACGGAAGCAAACTCGTAATCTTTTCCAATGAACTTACACCTGCTTTCTGATTCCTCTAGACTAGCTAATGACTTGGCCTTCTTTGCAATCCATGGACCTGTGACATGACCTTCCTGCCAAAAAAATGTTAAAGAAGAAGCATTTGTTCTGTTGGAGGCAGACAAAATGTTATGAGCTGAAATTTTTTTCCTTTGCACGTTGCATGTGCTGCCCTGTTTTATCTCTTCATCAGAAGTGACCAAGAAAACCCCAAGACTACCAAATCTGAAATGCAAAGCATTTTTTTCTGAAAAATAACTTTTCTGCAGCGCCAAGTTACCACTGTGAATTGTTTCCTCCTTTGTGATTGGAGGGGAATAAAAATCAAGAGCAATAAATTGATCCCAGGAAGAGTATCCCATAAAGTCCTTGTCACTTTCAAATGGGAAACAGAATATTACCCTGGCCTTGGCGATTATTATATTTCCCTGCACGCTTGCAGATGAAGCCAAAGCTGTAACTTGATTACAGCCGCTTTTGACATTCTTGTGATCCGATACATAGTTATCCTTAAAGCACTTGTGGTTGTTATCACCAGGTATACAGTTTGCAACACCCCTTAGTAAATCCAGTAGCATGTTTACCAAAGTATAGTTCACCCACAAAATGAAGGGTGGTAGATTCAATGAAAATGATTTTGACATAGTACTATTATCACCAGAAGAACTAGAGATCACATTCAACTGGGACGAAGTGATGCCATACGTTTTCAACAATGTAATTTTTGTAACATTGTCCTTGTTTTCACATGGAAAATCCATATTGAATGAACTATTTGATTCCACATTATTAGGATCTTCAGCTGAAAAATTAAATGGAGGGAGAGCACCTATAACATCCACTTGCAGATGCTTCGTCAGAAGTGTCTGGAAGTCACTGTTACTATTATGGAAGTCAGATTTTGAGGAATAATTTTTGCAGTTCAAATAATCAGCAACCTCAATATGCTTGATAGTTCCTTGAAAACTCGTTTTTTGAGATACCTGCTGGACCCAAAATGTGTTAAGTGAATGGGACATAGAAAAGGATCCCCTACCTATAGTTAAAAATCCCACTTGTTTCACGAGGAGAGATGGGAAAAGCCTCCATAAGGAGAGGGGGAGGGAGAGAGATAATCAAACAGAGTAATACACAAGAAAGATAAAGATTCCCAAGGGAAAATTTTACCTGCATAAGAAAATGGATATCACTGAATTTAGCAGCCACAAAATGAACCTCCGAGTCAGTTTTGATCTGTACTTTCTCAGGGTCAGTGAAATGATACTGATTGTCATCATGGAAGGAAATAACGACAGAAATTCCAGAGATAGTTGCCCTAAGGTTTGTTTCAACAGGCTGCAATTCTGTATCTAGTAATTAGTGTATGAAAGAGTATATTAAATGGTAAACATTGAGAATTAACTAATCTATGAAGAAGTGGGAAAAAATGAAGAAAAGCTAAACGTGAGAACATAACTCATGAGACATTAAAAAAAATACATTTCTGTCCAATTCATGCGTCTAACTAACAATACCAGTCAATACTATCATGTGGGAAAATCAATTGAAAACTTGTAGCCTTGAATCCAGGTAATCTAAGGTTCCATTGCCACACTAATTTTATTTCTTACCAAAAATTCCATAAAGATAGATCACAGAAGTATATATTTTCACCATAACCCATTATGGATATTTTCTTCTTATAAAAAGAAACAACTTTTCATTGATGAAAAAATACATTTTGTTAACGTTGATTACTTATTTCCCATTCCCTTCCCTTCCCTTCCCATTCCAAAAGACCACCGCATTCATCTTCCATGAGAACGCTGAATGTTCTATTTAAAGAATTAACTGTCATTGATGGAAACTAAACAAAAGAGTCAATTAATTTGATACCAAACATATTAATATTTCTTCAAAGATTTCTTTTTCCTATCCAACCCAATAGCATTTTAGGGCTAAAATGACAACTCCAAAACACCTTCTCATTTTGCTACCTACCCAAAAGTATCCCAACTTAATAGAGAATGAACATTCCTGTGAAAAGTCCAACTGATCAAATTGAAAAAATAAGCTTGTATAATAGCATAACAATTAAATCACAAAACTAGGGGAAAAAAGGTATCCTAACCTATGCTTAAGATAAAAAAACTGTTCCAGGGACGTGACTTTAAGTTAAATATTGTTTAAAAAAGTATTGATAAGTGAAATCAAGCAAAATGTGTTATTACACATATCAAGAAGTATAACAGTATCTTAAGTTCGAATACACGAGCAAGTGCATAACAGAGCAGAGCTAGCGCATACTCACCACAAGGAATGGGTAAAGATCCAGAAGCAAGGCTGGACGCAGCAGTGATTGCACTAAAAACAGAGTTCCACACCCCACTGCTGCCTAAAGCAGACTGGGAACTTCTTATTTCATCTAAGCATTCAAAAAACTGGTCCACACTGCAGAATGGAAAAAAGAGAAAACACTCAGTTTTTGTTTAATTGTTATTCTAAATGACTTAGAAGGATAAAAAGTCGTAATAAAAAACAAAAGAGTATCATGATTTTTAAATCTAATTGACGTCTTGGTATATGCAAAACTTATACATGGCATAAATAGTTTTATGTAAGCAAGGAAAACCTTAAAAATATTGCGCAAACTTGACAAACATTCAACAAGCATCCAAACTAAGAACCTAGATATCTCTTACAAAGATGCTTTAACCGTTGTTTAATATTTAACATATTTAGAACCTAGATGTCTCATACTGACATATTTAGAACACATTGGTATAATCTGAAACAATAATTTTAGAATTTTATATGGATTAAGGAACTAGTTCATATTATAGACATATTGATGACATAAGACAGCTGAATGTTTCATTTTGACAAATTTTTCTAGAATAGAACATCCCATGTGCATAATTAAAATAATGGAAATAATACATTATACTTCAACAGATGATCACATAAAATCCAACATCCAACAGATGATCACATAAAATCCCAACACTAAATGCATACATTTAAAGTAAAACATGAATTTTTTTTTTTATATATATTTCAAAATGATTCGAACATTGGTTATAAAGAGGACGTAGGTAATACCAACCTTGCTCCGAAGTCAAATTCTTCTTCAACTTTTTCTTTCTCTCTATGTTTAACAGAGGATGGCACCCAATTTGATATAAGGTGAGAGCCAGGCAGAATTCCACCACAATGGGGGGAGGAGGTTTCATCAGGAGTCCTTTCAGCAGAAGCTAGCGTAAATGAATGGTCGTGAGATGCCCGATCCAAGTAACCAGATTCATTCAACTTATTATGTTTGCATCCATGTCCATCACCATTCTTGTCGGAATTCCAATAAGCTTCAGATAAAACTAAAAAACATTTGATTGTTCTAGGTTGAAGTTTTACCTGTACAGGATCAATGAAAAGATCCCCATCCACTCTATAAATGTCTAAGGAACCATCCCTCAAAGGTATACGTAATTTCAGGTTACCTGAAAATCCCCCCACTCCACCTGTCAGAACTGGAATGGTAACATTTGATGGCACATGGTCTAATGCCATTTCAGCAGATGTTCCTGCAGACATACATGAAATGGATTTTGGATTGTCACAATCATCCATGTGAAGAAACTCGACCATTGCCCCTTGAAACTTTACAAAGTTACTCAGTTGACTTATTCCAAGAAAGCTTTCAGCTGCATCCATATCCAATTTACCATCCTCTGTAACACAAGTTCCGCATTCTACATCTGAAATCCGAAGAACAAGTGTGGTATCCAATCCTGTTTTGTTTTTGCTTTCATCATAAAAAGAATCAAATGCAACTATCAAGTTTATTATCTTCACGTGAAAGCTCGCAAGCAGCCCTTTCACCATCTTTGCAACAGTCTTCACACCTTCATGGATATCCCCATAGGTAGATTTTACAGCACTTTTCGCAACAAAATGCTCTGACTTTCTCGATTCATGATGGTTCTTATGACCACCACTAGAAGTTCCACAGCAATCCATACGATCATTACTCAAGCATGGGGAAAGCACAAGCTCCAAACCATTGATTTCTACCTCACAGCCTCTACTCGTCCATGGCATTCTAATTAATAAAGACCCAATAGATCCTTCTTTGAAAGTAACCAAAGCTGCTGTGCCAACCTATAAAATTGAGGACAATAACTGAAACATAGTTCACAAAGAAGAGTAAAACATTTTGGAAATGCAAAATGGATGTACTTTTAGGCCATTATTTAGAATTAAATAATTAGATTTTTCAGTTGTATGACATGTGCTGCGTTTTTACTTTTTTTACTAGTCATGGAATGTCAAGTATTCTCGCCCCCAATGTTCTTTAGACAGTTAAGTTCGTGTTCTTGTTATTTTATCCTTTATGTAAGTGTAAGGATTTCTAAGTCCCCAATAAAGGAGGAGGAAAGAAAAAGTAAGAAACGCCCAAGTTGATGCATCAAAGAAAGTCCCACGGAGAGAATTCCCTACCCCATCTACGAAACCAAAATTGGATAAGTTTTCAATCTCTGCCAAAGCAGACTCGTCCTAACCGGGTCTCCACGAGGAACTTTTGACACTGCAAGTCTACTCGGACCTATAAATTCATACATTCATTCTATTCCTCAATTTCTGGTTTCCAAAAATACAAAAAAAACTGGAAGATCGTAACTTGTTCGTATTCTCGCAGATAATTAACTGTGAATTAACTAACATGCTACCAGGGAAAGTGCGCAATTTAACTTCACCAAACTTTTCCTGCAGTTTCTCGTCGAAGCAACATTTTTCAATGTCCCCGTTCAAAAAAATAACAAAAAAAAAAACAAACCTTCTCATTGAGAAAATCAACGTTAAGCGCCAAGTCGCTGAGCTGAATTGTGCCGTCAGCAAGCTGCACGTCCAGCTGATCGATATCAATTTCCCCCAATAAAAACTGCCCCAATTTCTTTTTCAGTAAAAACTTGCACAATCTCTTGACGGCGAATTTCGAGAACATCGCCTCCGCCGTCTTCGCTATGTTCCACGTAAACATGGCTGGTACTGCAGGTAATAACGCGTCGAAATGATCAAATTACGAGAGGAATCAGTTGAGGGCATAAAGAAATTTGATTAGGGTTTTGAAATTCGCCGTCGCCCACGATGGGAAAGAAATCCCCATCTAGAGCAACACAACGAAAATAGAACGATGATCAATAATCTTTGATCATCAAACTCGTACACCAATGGAATTCGCCGAGCCTCCGATGAATTGAAAATATTCGTTTTGCTTGACGATTACGTGAAAATGGCCAATTTTGTCCGGGAAATTTTCAAGTTTGCCTTTTTATTATATGAACAGAGAGTGCTTAAAAATCAAATGCATCGATATCTATTCTAAATCAAAGGGGTTTCAGAGCCCGTTAAGGTTTACTCTTACAATCATTTTATTACAGAAGAATCTTATTTAATTTACAGATTAATTCTTAATTAATTTATCTTTTAACTCCCATTAAAAATACTAAAAACTAAAAAGCTCATAAAATTAATTCTTAATTAATCTATTTATATTCTATACATAAATTTTGATATAATGATATTTTATTTGTAAATATCACATTATTTAAAAATTTCGAAACATCTAATTAAAAAGTTTATATTTTAATTATAAATTTTTATGTAATTAATTAAAATTATTCGAATGTGTTATCCATTTATTCTTGTACTCCTCATTTATTCTGGTGTTATATTATTTATTTTATAAAAAAAAATGAGTTTTTTTATAAAAAAAAAAATTGATTTCTGAAAATATAAATAAAAATAGACGGGTTAAAGTAATATTTATGTAATTAATTTTGAGAAATTAAAAAAAAATCAAATAAAATATTAATAAATTTAGCCAAAATTAGCGAAATTAAAATGTAAATTATTCGTGGCATTCAATCCAAAAGTGGAACGTAAATTTCAGTTAGGACCAGAAAAACTAAACCCTAGCCAAACCCTTTTGTACTCAGAGGTCGTCTTGTTTCTGGGGAAGAATCCTGCGACTTGATCGTGTCTTCGAAGCAGCCATGAAGGTGTTCGAGATCAATGGAACCACCCTAACTCTCGCTCTCTTCACAGACGTTACCAATTCCAAGTACTCTCTCTCTCTCTCTATATATATATATGATTTGCTGAAACTGAAAATTTGGTCGATGGAGACTAGTGGGAGGATGATTAATCCTTGTAAAATCATATGGACTCGATATTTGATCTTTTTGTTTTTCTTTAACGTTTGGTTTTCGGTACATTCGCTAACTGTTTGAGAAAATGCTCGAACTAATCGAGGCAAGAAATGGGGGACAGCACCTTGTATTTAACTGTTGTGTTTTTAACATCACGTTTTCGAGTTTATTGGAGTATAATTATGATTTATGGGTACCATTACATATGTTCTTATGTGAAGTGTTTTTTTTTTTTTTTTGAAGAATAAACTATGTTATTGACAATTGAAGCGCCTCATAAAGTTGTTTATTTCCAGGGAGCTTCTTGATGCCATGCAAGCTGGAACTCTGGAACCGGAAGTTGCATTTCTCAATGCTTCTCTTGTATGGTTATTATATATGCCTATCTGTTTTTCCTGTAGCATATGCTTTTATGAAATTCACTCCCACGCTCTCCACTCTTTTGTTTGTTTTATGTTTTCGCTTTGAATTGTGCTCAAGAGTTCTCTAATATTTTCCTCATAAACAACTGAAGACAGATTCCGGATGTTTTCCCGGTGCTTGCGGCTGCTTATAAGACACAGATATCCAAGTCAAGGGATTCTTTGACTACCCGCACCCTTCATTCAGAACTCGTCTACAATTATTCGGGTTCAAAGCATGTAATTCTATCTAACCTCTTGGATACTGCAGCCGGTTGCTTATTTGTTTGTGGGTATGTTTGTGTGATCTTTTGATTTATTCATATGCAGATTACAGAGTCTTTAAAAAGGTGTGGAATTTCTGATAGCTCCTCTTATGTCCTTGCTGCTCGTTTTAATGCTTCTCCCGATGAGGTTGGTTCAAGATGTCATGCTACCATACTCTGTTACCTTGTTGTAGACTTGTGATTATAAATTCTGAATTCTTGAAAAGCTCAATCTTTTTGTGCAATCTATTCTCCCATTCTAGACGAAGGCCATCGAGAAACTAGTGCACGGTGAAGAGATCAACTTAGAGGAATTGGGAGGGAGAGCAGACCAAGCTCTGATACAAAAGGTGCATTCCATGTCTTCTTGATATGCCAATTATGATTTTTTTTTCCTCCTTTTACTTTCCTTTTGATAACTGAGTATTCAGGGCAACAAGCCAGCCATTACTTATGCTCTTGGTTCACCTCCACTATTTTCTATGAAGCCTTTGCTCGCTCCACTAGACCCTCAACATGATTTTTAAGTTTCAAAGTTTTCTACTATACAACAAATTATGGGTTTTTCCTAGCCAATAGCAAAATGGTTGTTTTTTTTTTTTTGTTTTCTTCAGCATTTTAAGATCACTGGACCCGAGTTGACAATATCCTCAATTGGAGATACCATAACATGTAGAATCGCTGCACGGGATGCCTTGTAGCTGAAAATTTGCGACAAGTTCGTCTTTCGCTGTTAGTACACGAAGTTACTCCTTTACAGGTGAATGTAATAAATTGTTGACAGTAAAATTACTTTTAGGTTGATGATGTCTAAGCTGATTTATAGAATGTTCAAATTGTTATGCTGTTGATGTCCGAGGAGAACTGATTAATTCTCTGGCGCTTGGTAGCTATGCTGCCTCTTAGCCAATGAACGAGGGCCCTGAGCTCCTTTGTGCTTTTTATTGAACGCTTTTCACTCAATACAGCTCTTTTATGATACATAGTTCTATGGATTAATACCCCCTATCTTAGCCAATGAACGAGGGTCCTGAGTTTCTCTGTGCTTTTTTGTTGAGCCTTTCACTCAATACACAGTTGCTTAATCTTCATCCGACATATTAGAAGGAAAATAGTCACGTGGATAAAAACCCCTATCTTAGACAATGTTATGAAGGTTCCGAGTTTCTTTGTGCTTTTTTGTTGAGCGTTTCGCTCAATATAGTTGTTTTATGTTTGTAGGTCATAATGGAAGGCAAACTACCTATCGAACCATAGTTCTGTGGATAAAGACACATTTTATCATACTCGTAGACTGATATTCAATCCCTTACGTTGAATTTAATAATAAAAGAAAGAGAATCCAAGAAAAGTGAAACAATTTATGGTATCGTATTATGTTCCCTTATTATTATTATTTTTTTTTCTTTCGCTTACTAGAACATTATATTATAAGTTTGGGGGAATGTTTGACCCTTTAATTTATGTGATTGAATCTTTGTTCGAGTTAAAAGATGTGTTTACTGAGCTGTAGGGTCCGGGTCACCAATTGAAGTTCTCTTTTCATATTTTCTATAAATTAATTTTAAAGATAATTGAAATTCAAAACATTTGATCAAAGTTTTATAAATATGAAATAATGTTAAATGTTTTTTTAAGGAAAAAAAGGCAACATAATATAATAAAGTGGTTCCACGATTGAATATAAGATTTTTGAATATGGGTAACTTTATTTTGTTGGATTTAAAAAATGGGATATATTTTTATAATACTTAAGTTAATTGATATATACATATATATATATATATATCAAAACTTAATTTATTAATTTGAATACAAATAATAATAATTGATTTATAAATTCTAGCGTTTTAATAATTTGTGCTTGAGTTTGGTTCTTTCTAAAATTGTCGACAATTTCTGCAATCAATTCTTACACTATAAATACCCTAACGAACAAACCTGAATTTCAGATTAATTAACTGCCCTAAAATTTGTCTCCCAAACCTTCTGGGTCTCAAAAGAGTTCCAATTATCGCGATCAAATTTCTTGAAATTCCTCCTGATTTTCTCTTCCTAGTTCCTCGAATCCATCCCGGAATCGGAATCGTGTTTTCCTCATTTGCAGATCACACGGTCCGAAATGGGTACCGCGCATAGCCGCGACTGCGAGGATGTTGAACTTTCAGACTCCGATGAATTCAAGGAGGAGGAAGAAGAAGAAGAAGAAGAAGAAGAAGAATGCGACGAGGCTGGGACAGAATTGAAGCTAGATAAATCGACTGGTACTTCATCTGCAATTGATGATGTCGACGCCAAACTCAAAGCTCTTAACCTCAAGTATGGCTCCTCTTCCCCTTATCAGATACCTAATTCCAAGAATGCTGTAAAACTTTACCTTCATATCGGTGGAAACACCCCCCGAGCAAAGTGGATCGTCTCTGAGAAACTCACTTCCTACGATTTTCTCAAAACGGCGAACGTCGACGGAAATAATTACGACGACGAGGAGGAAGATGACGTTAGGGGTTACAAAGCCAAATCGTCGGGAGGGAGAGATCAGTTGCGTTGGGTACTCAAAGTAGGGGCGAAGATCAGAGCTCTGGTTTCGACAGAAATGCAAATGAAGATGTTCGGCGATCAGCGGCGTGTCGATTTTGTTGACAAAGGCGTTTGGGCTTTGAAGTTCCCGAGCGATGAACAGTATCGGAATTTCGTAACTGAATTCCAAGATTGCTTGTTTGAGAATGTTTATGGTCTTCAAGCGACTGATGAGAACAGGGTCAAGATTTACGGGAAAGAGTTCATTGGGTGGTTGAAGCCGGAGGTGGCCGACGATTCGATTTGGGAAAACGCTGATATTGAGTTCGGGAAGAGCCCTAGGTCGAAGACTCCGTCGGTGAGAACGAAGCACGACTTGATAGAGGAGTTCGAGGAAGCTGCTAATGGAGGAGTACAGAGCTTGACATTAGGGGCATTGGATAACAGCTTCTTGGTGAATGATTCAGGCGTTCAGGTTTACAAGAATCTAAGCCATGGAATTCACGGGAAGGGGGTCTCGTTGAAAGTTGGTTCAGGAAATTCCCCAAACATTGGTCGATCAACACCGAAGAAGGGTCTTCTCATGAAGGCTGAGACGAACATGCTTCTCATGAGTCCATTGAAGGAAGGAAAGCCCCACGCATCAGGGCTGCAGCAGCTTGATTTAGAGACGGGGAAAATAGTTACAGAATGGAAGTTTGAAAAGGATGGTAATGATATTACAATGAGGGACATCACGAACAACACCAAAGGATCGCAATTGGATCCTTCAGAGGCGACATTTATGGGGCTGGACGATAACAAGCTTTGTCAATGGGACATGAGAGACCGTAAAGGAAAGGTTCAGAACATTGGAGGTGCTGATAATTCACCGGTTCTGAACTGGGCACAGGGGCATCAGTTTTGTAGAGGGACAAACTTCCAATGCTTTGCTACGACTGGGGATGGGTCGATTGTTGTTGGGTCAGCTGATGGGAAGATTAGGCTGTATTCGAAGACGTCGATGAGACAGGCGAAGACAGCTTTTCCGGGGCTCGGTTCTTCGATTACTCATGTGGATGTTACTTATGATGGGAAGTGGATTTTGGGGACGACTGATACTTATTTGATACTCATTTGCACATTATTCACTGATAAAGATGGCAACATAAAAACTGGGTTCAGTGGTCGGATGGGCAACAGGATTCCAGCTCCGAGGTTGCTGAAGTTGACTCCCCTGGATTCCCATTTGGCTGGAGCAGACAACAAATTCCATGGTGGCCACTTTTCATGGGTAAGAAAAACTAGTTCTGAATTTGATCGCTTGAATCTTGCTCTGTTTTGTAGCTGGCTTGGTAGGTTGGTTGCTGTTGCTTAAGGTTTTATTATTGTCTTTTGGCTAAATATATAATTTCGATGCTAATGAAATGGACATTGAATTGAAAATTTATGTGCTTCAAATGCAACTTTTTACGGCCCAAGCCCACGGGCCCATGGCTAGTATATGGTCTTCTTTGGGCTTTCCCTTTTATACTTCCCCTCAAGATGTTTAAAACGCGTCTCCTAGGGAGGGGTTTCCACACCCTTCGGTCCCCTTTCCAACCGATGTGGGATCTCACAATTCACCCCCTTCAAAGTCCAGCGTCCTCGTTGGCACACCGCTCGGTGTCTAGCTCTAGTTTCATTTGTAACAGCCAAACCCATCGCTAGCAGATATTGTCCTTCTTGGATTTTCCCTTTCGGGCTTTCTCTCAAAGTTTTTAAAACGCGTCTACTAGGGAGAGATTTTTACACCCTTACAAAGAATGCTTCGTTCCCCACTTCAACCAATGTGGAATCTCACATTACCCAACAAAACTTGAGGGGCCATCGAAGTAGAAAATGGGAACCCTCGAGTAGTGAAGAAAATGATGGCGACTCTCGTCCTTTTCAACTATGATGTGATAGCAATCTCTTACTAACTTATTAGAGACGGGAGTAGAAAAGTGGGTGTCTTTGAAGATATATCAGTAGCTTCTTTGGTTTATGTTCACGTCATGTTGGTTACTCTATCATAGCTTCTGTTATTCCTACAAGGAATTTCCTTCATTACTTCAATCCATACAAAACTGGCATTTGAGTTTCTTTTCTTTTGCCTTCAGTCCGCAAGTTCCATACATGACCTTACAATCTTATATTGACAACGATTTTCAGGTCACCGAGAGCGGGAAACAAGAGCGTTACCTCGTTGCAACAGTGGGGAAGTTCAGTGTAATATGGGACTTCCAGCAAGTAAAGAACAGTGCACACGAATGCTACCGAAATCAGCAAGGACTCAAGAGCTGTTACTGCTACAAGATTGTGTTGAAGGATGAATCCATCGTCGAAAGTCGGTTTATGCACGACAAGTTTGCTGTCTTAGATTCTCCAGAAGCTCCACTGGTTGTGGCTACGCCCATGAAAATCAGCTCCATCAGCCTCTCCGGGAAGAGATGAGACGCCATTGTAACACGTCGACGATGTGCTTTCTCGTCTCCATTGATTGATGTGTTCCTGTAGCCATACTGCTGCTGCTGCTGCTTTCTTTGATAATCCCTTCATATGTAATTAGGAACAGTCCCCCCCTGCTTCTGGTCATATTTTGTTCATTATCACACTGAAAAATTTGTGTGTTTTAGGTAAATAGCTATACGATGCAAAAGTAGAACTGATTTTTAGGATGTATTTCTTATGTGTTCTTCATTGTGATTTTGAGTAAAATTTAAAGTTGTTAACAGTAATGGGTTGGTTATATTTTTCGTTTCGAAATTTAAGTTAAGCCTAATTGGACTCGGCTCCATTGATCGGCTACCATTTCTCTTCAATTAGGGCTAAATTTCTCGAAACTCCCAGTTATGCAGCATCATAGAATTGACACAACTATGTAGGGTGGACTAATTGTCCACAATAAATAATACGTTCGATAGTAATAATTTAGGTCCCACATATGCATATTCTTGTTGTGTGTGCATATCTAGCTCGTAGAGAGGCAACTTATTAGACATTAAAAAAAAAAATACACGGTTTTAAAAGGGAAAGAAAAAAAAAAGTATCTTTTCTGAAAACAAAGGAAAGTGGTTGAAAAGCATGATTTAAAAATAAATATGAAAAAGAATAAATGGATTCTTAATTTCTAAAAAGTAGAAGAAATATGAAAATAATTGTTCACATTTATTTGCTCAACCAATTGTTAGTTTATAATTATTACTAAAACTCATATTTAACCATAAACTAATCTCAATTAGTTGCATGTAAACAAAATTCAAATCTATAAATCCTCTTTTTAAAAACCCTTTATATTTTTTTTCATAAAATAATAATAATAATAATAATAAAATAAAGATACTGACACAACTATAATTCTTAAAATATGAGTTGAGATAATTTTACGAGTTTTATCAAAATTGGTTTAACTCAAATTCGAACATTTAACCTTTTATATCTAGTCTGGATATAGAGATGTCTACG